AAGGGCCGCTCCTCCCGCCGACCGGGCGCGAGCCGGGAGCCGGGAGCCGGGAGCCGGGGCCCTCAGTGCGGCCCCGCAGCCGGGAGACACCCGCCGCCGCCGCCTCCTTCGGCCCCCGGGCCTCCGGAGGACTGGCCGCCCCCTGCGGGTCGCTCGGGTGCGCGCTAGCCGGCGTCGCTCGGGACGCGCCCTCCCCGGCGCGGGGGAAGCTGCTACTCCCATTGTGGGAGAAATTACTTGGGGCCGCTGTCGCCGTGTCGGTGCCCGAGGCTCCTTCTGTTCCCGACGCCGAGCTCTCTCCACTGTCCCGCTGGGAGCGCCCCGAGGGACGCGGCGGGCCGAGGGAGGCGTAGCGTTTTTGTAGGTTTTTCTCTCCTTCCTCCCTGACTTTACTGAAGCGCAGTTTGAAAGGCGCTTGCTAGGAGGTTCAGGGGTAATGCTTGACTAGTAAGCGGTATCATTCACGCCCAGATCGTAGAGTTACATAGCTTCAGCCGGGCCTGGCTTCTCTGGGCTGTGTGTATCCTGCAGGAAACGGAGGACCGAAGAAAAGCCTGAGTCTTTTTTCCTTCTTGGAGAGAAAAAGTTCAGGTGTTTGCTTTTATTTTTCCCACGGTGGGAAATGCAAATATCAAACTGCTGAGACACAGCTAGGGGAATACTGCTTCTAAACTTCTTGTAGTACTTTTTCTTTCGAGTTTTTATTTAATGACTCAGCGTTTCTGTCTGAAATAGAAAGACCATAGAGTGACTAAATGAGGTATATGAAGATAACAAAATAGATTAATACTTTTTTTTATGTTGCCACAGTAAGGAGACCATGTGGATATAGTAGTGGAAATGGGAGATGGAGAGGAGGGTATGGATAAGTTCTTAGTGTTTAAAGTAGCATTTTTCCAGAATTAACATTTTATTTGGGGGATAAATCTCTGAAGAGGTTCCCTTGCTGGAAAATGCAAAGTGTTGCAGGTAGAATTAGTTGGCAGGGATTCCAAGTTTATGGTAGTTTGAAAGCTTTGTAGAATTAACCAACACCATGCTTTGTATAACAAATACAGATGATGACCCAGTATTATACTCATATAGAATAAGAATTTTAGAAAGTATGATTCATTCAGGAAGTTAGGTCATTTAATTTGTGAATCATTGATGTGGATCTTAAAATTGAAATAGAGGAAAGCTGAGCTTTATTTCTGCCTGTCTAATTAGATACTTTTACTTATTTTGTAGGAAGGATACAATGTTTTGTTAAGTTTGTTGCTGAATGGTTGTCATGAAGTATGATAAGAGAAAAAACAAATTTTGTAAGAATGCTTGGATTTACAACAGTTTAGGAGTTACTAAAGGGATTGTTCTGATTTTACAGTCCCCCCCGCACCCCCAGGTATGGGAAGATAAATGAAGGAATCTAGAAGCCAAATAAATGTCAGGGGAAAGGAGGGTGCTCATCACTAAGGTAGGAAAAAGTTAACTGAAAGAATTTGCACTATACAAAATGCCTGTAGTCTTTTGAGTGGAAAGCCTTACTCATTTTGCCATTCTATGCTTAAAAATGTAGAATAATTGACTTTAATAAGTTCTATTATGGAAAAAAGTGTATTGAGGTTATGGTTTATTTTTGGAATAGATTAATTCTAGAAATAACTTTTTATTGCTGTAATGTAATTTGATCATTTTTTTTGGCTTTCAAACTGTTGTTAAGCAAAATAACACTGAATCATGAATATCTTGGTCCTCTTACCCTTTTTTCTTTTGGGGAAGGGTGTTAAGTGTATTTTACATTGATTTTCACTTATAAAGAACTTAAGTTAATTACAAAATGATGGCAGATTTGTCTTGTTAGTTTTCCTTAGGAAATTCCTATAATTCTTCAATTAAATTTTGACATCTTTGGATATCTATTCTTAACATTCAAAATATTCCCTAATGTTATTTTTGATTTTCTGCTGATAGTGATTTCAGAGTTTCAGTTCACTATAAAGGAACATTCCTGTTTGGAAAATTCCTTGTAGAAACCACAATAATTGACTCTCAGTAGGTTGTAAGGGAAACCTTAGGGCAGGATTAAGCATCACTGTAATGAATGAAAAATATATATGGCAAAATACTGTTTTTAAAAAAAAAATTAGAAATGAACAAGAGGGAGGGAGTGATTTCTGGCATAGCTTTGTGAATTGTTTACTGTGTTGCTAATAGAAAAAGAATAGAGTTGATAACTTGGAGGAAAGAAAATACTGTCTTTGCAGTATACCATGAATATTAAAGATGATCATTTAAAAGTAAAATTTTTCTCTTTCCCTGGATGCTCTATCTATTGAGCCTGTAAAATAGAGACTATTTAATAAAAAGCTTTTCCATTTAGGTAGTTGCCTTCTCTTGGGAGAATCTGAGTAGATTCTGGAAATCTTTAATTTTCCTAATTTAGGAAAATCCTTACCAGTTTACAAATAAAGACTAGACTTTATACCATTATAAAAACCCAGCTTTTTAAAACTTTAGAAAGAAGAAATTGAGCAAAATTTACCTTGTGAATAAAATGTCTTAGTCTTCATTTTCCCTTCTGTGATAATAGAATGGACATTTTATTTTATTTTATTT